AAGATGATATATAATGAGGTGGGCATTTTCACAGATGCTTTCTTGGCTTGTCCTTTTCCAGGCTGAGAAAACCAAGAGATAGCTCAATATGTAAGAGGTTTGCGTCAAACAAGCAGCTCTCTAGAGCACAGAATATTTTGGTAATAGCACACTAGTAGCTTGAAAATCCTTTAATAGTTAGATAGCTCTGAGAGTTATGGCTCCTATTTCTTTCTATGGGAGCTAAACAGATGCAAAAATCTCAATAACAGGGCAAACTCTTAGCTACAAGATTAGCTGCGAAATACTGTTTTTCAAGTTAGTTGCAGAATCACAGAATTGAAAGGATTGGAAGGGACCTCTGGAGGTCACTTAATCCAACTCACCTACAGAAGGTGGTACAAGAAAGTGTCCAGATGGGATTTGAATATTTCTTTGAATGTCTCAAGAGAAGGAAACTTCACAACCTCTCTGGGCAGCGTGTTCCAGTGCGCTGGCACTCTCATAGTTTAATAAGCAAATTCTTTGTGGTGTTTGAGTGCAACTTCCCATGTTCCAGTTTGTGCCCATTTCCCCTCGTTCTATATGATTCTGTATTTGCTGGCAGTTCAATCCCTACTGCCATACCACCAATACCCATCTCAGATGTGGTGGGCCAACATCATAAATAAAGAGGCTTTACTTTCAGCAACTTTACGTACTTGATAGTTTACTTTGATGATGTAAACATATATTGTCAGAAGGAGCTCTTTAATACGTTTTGTTTTTGTAACTAGAGTTGTGTGATAGGAGGAAATGCCTTTTTTTTTTTTTTTTGCTTTCTTTTTGGTAGTGATTTAAAAATGTCATTGAATTAAAATAAGCACCTCACTTTTTTTTTAGTTATATCAGTCAATGGTTCATAGAAATTATCGCTTGCAGATGGATAACAATTTGTTAGTCTAGTTGATATTTAATGTATAAAGCTGGCAGTACACAATAGTAACTCACAACAAGCAGAGTTTTACAAGTAGCTGTTCCAGCATGTAACCTTTAGCACGGAACCCATATTTGTCTTTAATAGTCCTTTCTAATGCACTGAGTTGCTGCTTTACCCATGAAAGTGTATGTTAACATGAGGCTATGAGACTTGCATGTCTGTCCGCTGTTATCTTCAGAAAGGTTAAGCAGTATCTTTATTTCTTGTTTTTCTAGGTTTTGTTTTTTTTGTCACTCCATGGCAGCTACAGCTGTGCATGTTGAAAAGCTGTTTATAAGGAGATCCATGCTGTATGTTTTTTTTTTTTAATATTGTCAAAAAGCTGTTTGTTGTTTGAGCTGTTTTCAGTAACATCTGGTTCTAAATCCAGAATGTGATGAACCTGCATGTGATGAATGGGAATGCTTGCTCCTATACAGACTACCTAGAAATAGCTGCCATGTATGTTACTGTTTTGCCAGGGTATTTTAAGTCTCACACTCTTTTCCTGCATTTGTCCTATTTAATTACAGGTTTATGAATATCAGAGCACGATACTGGAAACAATGACTCGAGTAGCCTTAAATGGGGAAGGTGGTATTTATAGTATCCGTATTGTGCCTTGTGGAGCATTCAATAGATTAGCTGTGATGAGTCATCCTGTGCTGATATAAACATGGTGGAACAAATTAAGGAGAGAACATAAAAATACCAAATTGGTAGCACATCTTTAGATAATAACACTATATAACAATATCTGAAAACTGGCTAATGACATTGTCTTAAGCACTCCCAAATGACTACTTTTTTTTTTTTTTTTCAAGCCTCACTTTGAAACCTGAAATCTTGTTCGTTTCGTATCAGAGACGTGACAGCAGTGTATTTGGATATGGAGTAGGAGAGTGGCACATAAAGCTTTGTGGATAAAATGAGATAGTAACAAAAGAGCAAAACCGCCTAGGCATTCTTTATTCCCTTTTAGTTAGAAAGATTCCAGCAGAAATCCACATCCCCTGCTGCTTTTAGATGAAATGCCTGGACACGTAGCAATTAAAAAAAAAAAATAATAGTGGTAGGGTGGGGGAAGAAAGACCTTGGGGAGTTATGGATTTTTGGCATTTAAGTACTAGATTTAAGGACAACTGAATGCTTAACAGAGGCTCCCTTTTGTTGCCTATAAATGTTGGAGTCTGGCACCCATGTGTAAAGACTGAATGAATTAAGATGAGATAATTTTGTGAATGCTTAAGTTTTATAGCTGATAAAAGAGTCCTTGAAAGAAATTCTGATTGGACAGTAAAATAGTGGATATTTAGCAAGCTCCTAAAAGACAGGGCTGTTGAAACACCATTTGAGCAGTCAAAACAAGAAACAAAATAGAATAAAATCTATAACAAAAGGAATTGAGAAAACTAGGTAATCTCTACAGTATTATCAATTGCTTTGTTCCTTCTGTAGTTCTGTTTAGAGCAAGTTCTTAGATTAATTTTTTCAATATTGCATTGAGCCACACATGTATGTTAAAAAAAGTCTGACTACGAATGCAACATGAAATGAAAGCAGCAGCAGAATTTTAGTCTTTTTGAAAACTTCAGTTGCATTTCATAGATATAATCTTGAGTAATACTGAATAGAGAAGTGAATAAAGTTAGACAGTACCAAGCCTCCGAAGAACATGTTTAATCCAAAACTTCAAAATGCTGACCTTGACAAGGCAGTTGTGGGTGGAAGAGGATCTTCCTTCTCAGAGCACAGCAGTGAAGTACAAGTGGGTACATTCCTACTGCGGAGATGTGCCATGGGTACTGCATGCCTCCTGGTTCTTCTTGTTGGCCTTTGGGGGTGTCTCAGATTGCTTTGGTCTGTGTAACATGACTACCCTCATAAGAAGGGTATCTGCATGGGTAGTTTTTGCAGGGTGTGCTGACAAACATAAGTGATCTGTTCTCTAAAGCATATGGAACTGAGGTGCTGCTCATCAAACACTCCTAGTTACCTTTGATAATCAGTATAATTAGCACAGGTGCTTGCAAGTAATACTATCTTCATTTTTCAGTATTTAAGAGGAGCGGAAATAGATTGCTGTTGTGTGTGTGCATGTATGTATAATAAATTATGCAGATTTTCAATGACAATGCAAATGTTCCTGCGTGAAACTGACCTGAAAAGGTGACTGGATGTTTGTTTCGACCTGAAGATATTGTTGTTATACAGAACCTGATCTTCTTTTGAAATGTCAGCAGACATGCTTGTCCCTGCTTGCATTTACATACGTCTCTCATTGTTTCCAAAATTCAATCTGATACATTTCACTACAGGGCTTGCTTGCATCCACTGAGGACAAGTAGTTTTTTATAGCCTGTACCTTTTTCTGAAGTTCCACTACTCTGCATTTTTGAAAGATGCTGACATATATCATCTTCAGCAAAGTAACAGGGACTGTAGCAGGACCTCTCATTCTAAATCTGTGTAATTATTTGAAGGGAGAATGTTAATGTTTGTTTTTTTTCCATAAGAACTTTGAACTAAAATAATTTCTCTTGGGGACGATAGAGTATGGATTATAAAAGTGTTTTATTAATCTGCTTAGAAGGGGTGACAGGGAAACCTTTTAGCACTGCTTTCCTTAAAGTACTGTCAGAATTAATGGTTACATTGCAAGCTTCTGGGAATGGAGAGATCTTCATGAAGTACCGTTCTTTATTGTTCCTAGTTCATTCTTCTGAGGATGAAAGCAGAATCAATTGATTTTTTTCAATGCACATTTGCTTACTTAAATATACCTGCAGAATCATACATACTGATGTCTCCTAGTAATTCAGCGCTTTATTTTTCAGCTTTGTTATTTACTTTGTGGGTATTTTTGTTTTTAGTTACAAGCAAAGAAGTCAATACGTTGCTGTAATTTTTAGTTTGCAGTATCCCATGTGCGTCAAACACAGTTTCATTCCTCTGACAGTAAAAGAATGTTCCTGATCGTCTTTGATAGGCTAAAATGTTCTCTTATAACTTCAGAGTACATTAGTATATCAGGTCCTGCTCCTTGTCCCAGCTAAGTGAGTAAGAATTTAGGTTTTGAGAATTAAGATTCTGTATGAAGGATATTATCTACTTTGAATGTTGTGCTTCATTAGAGAATGCTGGCTTTATTGGAGAGAATCAAAGTGTTGTCTGTCTTCTCTTGACAAGTTCAGTTTCTTTATTTATTCAACTGGATTGGAAGAGTAAAATAAATACATTCGAAGGCAGGGATGATGGCCTACTCTGACATGCTGATCGAGACTGTTGCAGATATCATCATCCAACCATACATTGCAAATTTACTGGTAATAGACTGTTCTGAAAATAACTTCCTTAAATTTTGTTGCGGGGGGGAGGTGGAGAGAAGAAGGCACCTATAGAAGATATACCTGAAATGAAATTATCTGTGGAGCCTTGCATTTTTTTTGTTTTTAATTCTAGGCCAGTTTTTGTGATAGATGAATCAAAATAGCCTTGTTTTTACCTCAGATTTTTCTTTTGTTGTGTTGTTTTTGTATGTGTGCATTTGTGTGTGTGAGAGAGGTTTTCTTGTCAAGAAAAAATAGATATTTTGTTTAAAGCTGTATTAAGTTATATTAATGTGAAAATAAACCTTACCTGTTCTTCTGGTTTTAATAAAAAAATATTAGTAGATGAAGCTGTATTAATTTGTTCGACAGCATTGATGGCTACCATTGTTTAAAAATGTGAGATCTTAAGATAGAACCTGTTATTTAAACTTTCAGATGGCGTGCTTTGAAAATTGGAAGTGGTTGGAAATTGCACTCAATTTTGCTTCAGTTCCTCTTTTTTGCCAATTTTTCCAAACGTGAGATTCGTTTTGTGACTCTTTCAGGAAGCTTTATTGCTAAGAACATTGTTGTCACATTGGAGTTCGCTTACTTTGTGCTGTTGCTGTGTCTTAATTATTTAGACTGTCTTGATCAGTAGAAGTTATGGAGATTATTTGTATTAAATGTAAAAACATTCAGTTTAAAAATATTTAGCCTAAAGGCATTTCTTTTCTCTTTTTTCTTTGTAGATACTACAACGTATTCCACTGAGCGATCTGAGCACTTTAAGCCATGCAAAGACAAGGATCTTGCATACTGTCTCAATGAAGGAGAATGCTTTGTGATTGAAACCTTAACAGGATCACATAAACACTGCCGGTGAGTAGTTTGCTAAGTCATTTCTTTACAGAAATAAAATGTATAATAATGTTCTGAGGAGTCAGCATTGGAAAAGAATGCAATGATTTAGTCTTAGAATGTTGTAAACATGAAATGATAGAATTTGCTGTTGATTGCCTCCCTCACCATTGTGGTGGGTTTTTGTTGGTTCATTTTTTTTTGCTATTGTGTAGTATTTATAGATAAAAAAAAAAAAAAAGTAATGGAAAACCAAGAGTTGAATTAATTTTATAGATACAAATAGTACTTGGTGTTCTGTTGATGTAAGCAAGTAAGAAGTATTGGGTTGTTTGTTTTTTTTTTTTTCTTTAAACATAGAGTAGTTCTCTGTTTCTCTAAATACCAGAAGTGTCTTTTATTTTGAGTACTCAAAGTAACTCAGAGTAATAATTGCTGTATGCACAACTGTGGTCTTCAAGAGATGGGGAGAGTTGTTCACTTAGTAGTTTTAAGAATTTGGGTTTCTTATGTCAAATTATTTAAAGATAAAGTGGACTGTGATGGCTGTCTGAACCTGATGGGTAGCTGTTCAGCAGTTTTTTGCTGACGAGCTTATATTAATATATCAGTGAGGTTCTTGAGTATGTGTCTGAGTATCAGAAATGAAAACTGGATTGCCAGGTTACCCTAGATCTTGTGGTCAGTGAAATGAACTGGTTTACAGAAGGTTGGGTTTTTTAACGTTTCTTAAGGATAAGAAAAAAAGCATCAGAACTATTCCAAGTCATTTAAATAGAAGTGATCCAAGATTAAATCCTGTACTTCTGATATTTTATTCTACTTTTAATTTCTTGTAATGCAACAGATGCATTTAAACGTATGCCTGAATTCTAAGCTGGTGGTCCAAATACAGAGTGTGTGTGTGTGTGTGTGTGATATAAATATTATCAAGTACTTAAAATGCTCAGAAGCTTTACTGAATCACTTTGGACTTAAGCAAAAGGTTGTTCAGATAGGAGAGAATCACAAAATGATTTTTACCTAGTATGAAAGATTGACGCCTGTCTGCTGACAGACATAAAGATTAATTCTAAGAATTTATTAAGTTCTGTTCTATTTTTCCCATTCAGTTATATATACTTCAGTGGTGATTTCCCTCTTTGTTTTCTGTTTTATTATGCCATGTTTATTTAATTATTGTGTCTTTAACTGTGGAGAAATGATGACTTTTCAACTTGCATCACAGAAATTTGCAGGTATTATTTTTTTTTCAAAGCAGATGTGTTTTTCCTTCTTATAAGCATCATGAACTGTGAACAAGTAAATTACACCACTCAAATGTTTTTAAATGAAAAATTCAAATTGGACAATCGTGTGGACACAATTGTCCAATTTGAATATATATATATATGACCAGCAAGTAATGAATAGAAGAAATCATTAGTCTGATAAACTCATTAAATCTTTGTGTACTAGGTAATTTTTACTAAACTCTATGTATTAGGATGGCATATCTGCAGAGTAGATCGCATAAAAAGTCTGTCTTATTCTTGTTTGACTTTGAAGTTTGTTTTTCCCCGTTGTTTGCCTTTGCCAAATTGTTGTTAATTTGCTGTGATTCTAATGCTGCATTCTGTCTAATGGCTAGAGGCTTTCCCTCTGGGCTTTTCCCCTTAAGTAGGCCAGAATACTGAGTTTTTGTTCTTTCCAGCGGAGTGAGATTTTTCATCATCTTCTTGTGTGTTATTTTTCCATAGGGAAATACAGGTATCCTCTGTGAATTTCTTAGTTCTGGTGTGTAGCAGACTTGCATTGCTCCTACAAGTTACCGACACTGGGGCAATCTCTGTGAACTCATCATTATTACACAGGATACTTTGAAGCATCCAACGTGAAAAGATATGGAAATAAAAATTAGTATAGCATAGCAAAATAGGACGCATCTTAAATTTTAAAAGGTGGTTACATGGTTATAGTGCTTTCCTTAAAGGTGCATGAACATGTGAACAGCTTGTCTGAAATCTCTTTTATGGTACTGATGTATGTCACTAATCACTTTCAGACCAATTTACTTAGAATCAGATTTTCACAATGTTCCATTTGTAGATAAACCATTTAATTTGACCTTCAAATCCTGTTTCTAGTTCAATAGTGGACTGGCTCTCAGAACTGGGGCTGTAGTGAGCAGGATACAGGGGTTTGCTATCTGCAGCTCAGAACTGTGCTCTGAAATAGCAGCTGGAGCATGCTCATTAAAAACAAGAAAAAAACACCTTCCTTGTTAATGTACTGGATTTGTTCTCATGCTCCAGGGGGGAAAAAAAATAATAATTTTCCCTGAGAATGGAAGGGTTATGGAATTCCCTTTGCAATTAAAAACATCATTTGAATACAGAATTACGAGGACTTAAAATGTGAAATGATACTTTGTCCTTAAAATCAAGTGGCATTGTGTATTCTCGTTAACAGTTTGATTTTTGCATCTGTTCTGGAAGAGGACACCGATTTACTGATAAGGGAATTTGCCATGTGGAACAGCTGCAGGCAGAAGACCTTGATGTAGCAGAAAACTTGAGCTGTGTTGAAAGATTATTAGTAAACGATGTGCTTAAGCAGCTGTACAGTCATTCCTGTGTATGTGTATAGGGACACACATGAATTATTGTTTAAGCAAAATACAGGGATGTGAAATGGCAGCTGGGTAGCAAATGAGATATCCTGGGTGCATTTTGGGTTATTTCAAATGTGTGACTCTAGTATTTATTTCTGTGAATGGCTTAATACAAGTTTGTTCTAAGGATAGAGTAGGTCAACAGTGGGGAGACTGGATATTTAGCTTCTCCATGCATTGAAATTTTTTTCCTGTTGCCTTAAGAATTTAAATGCATGATGAGGGAGGTTTTTTGTGGCTATACATACGCACATACACACACTCACATCAAGCAGACTGTCAATACCTATATATAGGTATTTAACTGGATATTACATAAATGTCTTTCCCAGAAGAAACAAGAATTCTTTGTGTAAGTTTATTTCTAAGACTGTCTCTCTTTTGCTTTATGTTTTTTAATGTTTTCCCCTCCCGTTCCTGAGTTAAGCCTTCTACTGTTTCATGTCTCTTCAATCCTTTCTGATTACTCATTGAAGAATGGTACTAATGGTTCCCATTGGAAATACATTCATGGATGAATGGCTGGCTGTAAGTTTTTGAGGGAAGGAAGGGAAGGAGGATGTTTGGTCCAATGCTTCTTTCAGAAGAATCCATTAGGACTGTAGCGTATGCAGTAGAAATCTAGGAGTGCAATGAACTCCAATGTACTCTTTGTATTATTAGAGCACGTTGGATGAGAGATACTCCTTTTGCCTCTTCTTCTTGCTCATCTCTCTTTCATAAAGAAAGCGGTGTACAACTTAAGTGCATTTTCCAAGTGTTGGAAATCTATTTGCAAGAATAGATTCACAAATATTCAGAAAACATCATTCCTAATTGATGAGAATCTAGCAGACTGTACCTATAGAAGTTTTCAGATTCTGTGGGATAGTTGACCTTCCATGCATTCATCTGATTCTGAACTTGATTATGTTACTCAATTTTATACCTAAATATTTGTTTTATGCTTAATTGGTGGAATGATTCTGTCATTGTTCAACTGTGTTTAAAATGTGTTTTGATGCCCAGAGGATTAAATTCCACCTTAATGAAAGTTCAATTCAGAGAATGTTAATACATCTAGCGATTATTGTCAGTCTCTCACATGGCAGTGGCTGTAATCCATGTGCAGCACTAGTTGTCAGTGCAATCAGCAGGAGAAAAGGTATCAAGCAAGCCGTAATTGGAACAGCAGGGCATATGTTATGTGCACTTAACCATAAGTTAAAAATCTGAAATGATAAAATTATTTGTTTCAGTTCAGTGTCTCCTTCTCTAGATTTTTACAGCCTGACCTAGCTGTTTTTTAAAAAAAAACAAAAACAACAACAACAAAAAAACCCTCTTGTGTTATCTCTGTCTTATGTTATGCACAGCAAACTTTCTCAGAGCTATTCTGTGAGAAAGCAAAAGCAGAAAATAACTTGCTATTGAGTGACAGCAACTAAGGAAGGCTCTTTTTTTACATTACAGTATTACAAGGCTAGTCTAATAAAAAATCGTATGTTGCATCAAGCTGACTACATGAAGGACAACTACAAGAGAGTAAAAGAAGTAGAAATGTAACTTAGGACACATTGCATGTGAAGGGTGGTCAACAGACCCCTACTGAAAATTATTGGCTTGCAAGCACATCTAGATTATATTTGTGCAGTCTCAAACATTAACTGGAAATGCTGCTGATTTTGCTTGTTTACTTCAGGAAAGCTGAGACAAACTTGGAATAGTACATGAGATGCTATTAAGCAATTACATTTTTGCATAGGTATCACATTACATTACGATTGCATCACTTGCTTATGCAGCAGCAGTGTTAGAACTCTCGGTTGCCTTGAGCAGCGCAGTTGTTTCTGTTAGCTCAAGTGAAATCCTCTTTGCCTCTTGGCTGTGATGTTTGCCAAAGCTCAGGCCTGTGAGAGATGTCAGGAGGCAGAACCTCTTGCCAGAAAATTTTCCATGTTATCTGTACATCCCAGGGGCTCAGGTGCATTGACGTAGTCCAGACTTGGGTAGTGAAAAGCAGATGAGTTCCTGCCTGTATTGCTGTGTAATTTCATATTTGTTCTTAATATTAGGAAAATGCTTTTATTCATTGGAATACCTCATGCCTCTCTGGTCTAGTTTTAAATACTTGTTTTCTTTCTGATAATAATAATAAAAACTCACTAGTGTACTAATGGTGCGCTCTTTCTCAAGCTCCTTATCCTTGAAAACTAGGACTGTAGTTTGCATAGCTTTGCTGCTGTGTACCTCCCTCATTCTTTTAAATTTGCTTAGATATGAACTGTGAAGAAGTCTGGTATCTAAACCTGAGAATGAAATGGTAGATGTAAACCCAAGAGATCTGTGAAACCCGTACTTGTTTCCTGGGATACTTTGTCATTACCAT